GCTGTTCCTGACGCTGGAGCAGCGCCGGTGGGTGCCCCTGGCAGCGCAGGAGCTGCACAGCAGCAGTTCCCAGGGCCTGGGGAAGCAAAAGCGTTCACGGCTGTGAGGACAAAGCGACCGCAGCACGGGGTTGTGCAGCACAGCTCCTGTTCTCAGTCCTTCTGCTTCCAGCTCTTGGCGAGGCAGAGATCCCGTGCAGAGCCCAGGGTGCTGCTTTGCCAACTTACCCCTGTTCCTCTGCCTGCTCCCGGCCTCCGGGACACAGGCACTCACGGGCATCGCAGCGGCTGTGCCTCTGGACTAGTGCTTCAGCTGGAGGCCTGTTGTCCTGTGATAGCAATCTGATGGAGAAAGGGAAATGGCTGAGCCCCTGCTGCCCTGGCATGAGGCCGATGTAGGGCAGCCCTGCTCCTGCCCCCTGCCCGGTTTACAGCTCCTCCGTGAAGCTGAAGCCCAGGCAGATGGGAGAGTGCAGGGGCAGGACTGCAGGGGAGCCCCGGGCATGGCACAGGGCTTGCAGCCTCCTGTGCTGTGAGCCAGCAGGACACCAACCTCGTGGGGACTCGGATGCCCATGGTGAGCATGTCATTGACAAAGCCATTTCTGTTTCTGCAGTGGGGGCAGCTGAAGGAAGTAACAGCAGTGTACTGAGCCTGGCTCTGAAGCAGAAACAGAAGGAGCAGGAGTCAGGCCCATGTGCTGCCCAGCTCCTGCCGTGTCCGGGGGGCGAGGGAACGATGATGTCCTACCTGGATGCAGCCCCGGTGGAACCAGGCGTGTTTGCAGGCCGGGCACACCAAGGTGTGGAAGGACTTTCTGTCCTCCACAGGCTCCAGGCAGATGAGGCACTCGGTGTCCTCCTCCAGAGCTGCCTCCACCTCCTGCTCTGGGCGGTGCTCCCTGCAGAAGGACCTGGGGGGCAGAGGCAAGGGATGGGTGAGGTGAGAAGCGCTGGCTCCTTCCCGGTGGGGGCGAGGAGGGGAGAGGAGGTACCTGTATGGGAAAAAGTACTGGGTGATGCATTCACCCTCCATGGCACAGGGCAGGTGGAAGCTGTGGTCGCAGCCCTCCTGGCCACAGGTGATGGCGGCCCCGCTCTCCCCGCAGACGAAGCATTTCTGGAAAGAGCAGAGCAGCCCCGTCAGCGGCAGCCTCAGGGCCTCCCCAGCCAGTCCCACGCCACCGGGCAGGGCGCAGGATGTGGCCGCTGCTGGGCCACAGCCCACAGATCCGCCTGGAGCACGAGGCTCCTGGGCTGGAGCCTCTGTGGAGCTGCTGGGAGCAAGGCTTTTGTCCTGGAGCTGCTTGGAGGGGCTGGGATTTCTTTCCTGGCCTCTGGGGTAAGCTCCCCCAAACCTCTCCTGACATAAATCTCCCTGAACTTGTCAGGTCCTCACCTTCCGCGCTGCCCGCTCGACTATGTGGTCAATGTCCTCAGTGACAAATCTATGCTCCCCTGATTCCTCATCCTGCCAGTCAAAAAGCACACTGGCAAAAATCTGCAAAAGAGAAGAGAAGATAAGATAAGAGAAGAGAGGAGTGATGAGGAGAGCGTGGCTGGGAGTGCGTGTCAGGGAGCAGGAGGTTGGCCCACGGGACTCACCATGCAAAAGAAATGCACACACAGCAATTCCATATCTACTTTCGGCCCGCAGAGAAATTGGTCATCCGCTGCCTGGCCACACAGCACGCACTCTGGAGGGAGAGAGCAAATGTCGACAGGAATGAGCACCTCTGTGAGCTGGGGGAAGCATCCCTGAGGGATTGTCCCCAGGGCCCTGCTCTCTCCCTGAGGGGTTGAGGGGCAGGGCTGGGGGCCGTGGCGAGGAAAGGGCATCGCAGGCACTGCCTCCCCATGCCACCGCGCTCGGCCCCACGCTGACCCCCGACAGCCCCTCTGCTGTGCTGTGGGAGAAAACTTTCCTCTTACCCTGCTCCATCGAGCGGGGGGCCTC